TAATATATACCCCTGATCACCTCCCGAGTGATCACGGCCCTATAGTATAGCAAGGCAGACTGACAAGAATGTAGGGCCAAAGGTGATAAACTAGCATCCTATACTAAGCATTTAGGATTGCGGGTAAGGTATCAATGACTGTAGCAGCAATGACAGGCTATGCATCAGAATAGGATTAACGGAAAGCAGTAACATGCTACACTACTCTAATGCAAGCAGTATAGAGTAGAATAGGCGATATCTGGTGATCAAGGGGGGGCTTGCCTGGTTGCTCTGGCAAGAAGGAGGGGTCGTCAACTCCGTAGTCGAACTGGGCAGCAGCAGCGTCGGTCTCGTAGTCTACCGGAAAGAAGGGGGGGAAGAAACAATGAATACAATGCAAACAAATGCATATCGATGCATGACATGACAAGTAACGATGCTAGGTGTGCCCAATCGCGGTAGTAGGTGATACCGACAAAGGGGGGAAACATCCGGGAAAGTATTCCCGGTGTTTCGCGTTTTCGGACAGATGAACCGGAGGGGGAAAGTTGCGTGTTTGGTATGTTAGAGGTGTGTGGTGGACGAACGGGCTGCGTATCCGGGTTCGTCTCGTCGTTCTGAGCAACTTTCATGTAGAAAGTATTTTCATCTGAGTTACGGATTAAAAGATATGATTTTCTAAAGATTTAACTCATTTTCAGGAATTTAATTAATTATTTAAATCCAGCATTATCCAGAATAGTAAATGATGATGCAAGCATGACATCAGAGTGATGTCAGCGGGTCAACTGGTCGGTTGACCAGTCAAACCAGATAGGTGGGTCCATCGGGACCCACATGTCATTGTCAGGGGCACTAACAGGGGGTTTAGACTAACTAAATGGGTTAATTAGCAGGTGGGGCCCAGCAGTCAGTGACTATTTAGTGAACTAAATTAATTAATGAACTAATTAGCATTTTATTTATTTACAAAAATGTTTTAAACAACACGGGCCCGCATGTCAGTGGCAGTAGCTGCCACATCAGCGTAGTTGACTTCGGTCAACGTGGCCAGTTGGGGCCCCAGGCCCACAGGCAGTGACCCAGGGGTGGGGCCCGCCTAACCACGGCAGCAGACGGCGCCCGAACGACGCCGGCGAGGGAAAACGCGGCGGCGGCGCACGGGAGGCCGCGGAATTTGGCTACAGGCCACAAAAATTTACATGGGGGGTTGCGTTCGAACGGGGAGTCGATGCTGCGTCTACTAGGACCGATGGCGTCGCCGGAGTTCGTCGAAGTTAACGGCGGCGAGCACCGAGGCGGATGCCGGAGCTCGGGCGTGGGCGGCTACGGCCAGGAGAGGCACAACCGGGGACAGGGATAGGTGCGTTGGGCCCCTGGAGACGTGCTGAGAACGACGACGCGGTCGGACGCGAGCCACGCTTGCGGTGGCCGCGACGGAGAGCTCGACGGCGGCGGCGGGAGGGTGAGCGCGACGGGGGAGCGAGCTACAAGATGCGGTGAGCTAGGAGGGGAGGAGGAGGAGGTTCAGGGGCTCACGGCCGTTGCAGAGAGGGCCCGAGGAAGACTCGATGTGCTCGGGGCGGCGCGGATTCCGGCGATGGCGACGACGGAGCAGAGGAGGGAGACGAGGTCGCCGCGGTCGCTGCAGGGGCTCCGAGTTCCAGCCCGAGGTGGCGGGAGGCGTAGGGGACGACGGCGGGGCTGTTGAGCACGTCGACGAGGTGAGGGAGGGTCGGTGGCCGCGTCGACGGCGAGCAGCGACGACGAGCTCAAGCGACTGAGGTCGGGATCGAGCGTGAGGAGAGGGGAGAGGTGAGGTGGATCTGATGGGAGGGGGAGATCTGGCAGGGGCGAGTGGGGAGGCGAACCCGAGGAGGCGCGGGTGTGGCATCCTTATCCATCCGTCGTCGACG